CCCACTGTCCTGCTGGTAATAGCTTATCTAAAGTGATCAACAGGTGGGCCATTTCCAGCACAAATCCAGGTTTTCTCACCCTCCACCCCCCCACACAAATTCACTCTCCTGCTGGTGCTAGCCCATCCAAAGTGACAACTCTTTACATAATCAAGTCGGGCTATTTCCTGCATAGATCCAGGTTTTCTCACATCCCCCCCACCCCCATACACACACAAACTCACTCTCCTGCTGGTAATAGCTCATCTAAACTGACCACTCTCCAAGTTTAAATCCAAGTTAAACCAGAACATCTGGGGGGGGGGGGGGAGTAGAAAAAAACAAGAGGAAACAGGCTCACCTTTAAAGAGTTTGAAAGGAATGCAGTGGAGAGATAGGAAGTTAACCCAGATCGATGATGATGCTGTAAAATAGAATGTGAAAGATTAGAGTGATATGTTGCTTACCATAAATAAGAGCATTTAAAATATGACTTTTGAAATAGAGACTAACAAATTTATTTGAGCATAAGCTTTCATGAGCTACAGCTCACTTCATCGGATGAAGTGAGCTGTAGGTCACGAAAGTTTATGCTCAAATAAATTGGTTAGTCTCTAAGGTGCCACAAGTCCTCCTTTTCTTTTTGCAGATACAGACTAACACAGCTGCTACTCTGAAACCTGTTGAAATAAAAACTGCAGCTCCATTTGTGTGCATCCTCAGTCATTTTAATGTAGCCCTTCCTGCATCTCGTGGTAACTATGCTCATAGTACAAGGCTAAGGAAAACTGAGTGAATGAGGTGTCTTAGGCTTGGCCTATACTACAGAGTTAGGTTGACATAGGCAGCTTATGTTGACCTGTGTCAGTGTCTACACTACAGCCTTCAGCCTTGCTCCCACCGATGTAAGTGCTGTGCTACACTGACATAACTCCACCTCCATGAGAGGTGTAGGGCTTACCTCTGTGTAGTTAGGGTGATATGAACCTGTGTTTCTTACATCAGCTGGTGGCTATCTTGTCAATTTCATGGCTCCCCAGCCCTGAAATTGACAAGAAAGCTAGCTGCTGTCAGGTCTCCACTCCAAGGCTTGGGCTGCCACTCAGGCTCCACACCAGGAGCCCTGCTGCCCCCCAGGGTCCTGGGACTCCAGGTGCAGATCTCACAGTCTAAGGCAAGAGGCTCCTAGCGGGGAGCTGTGTGGAACAGAGAGCCTTGGCTCTCTTTTTTTTTTCTCTCTCTCTCTCTCTCTCCGCCCCCCTGCCCCCCACACACACTTCCCCTCTTCAGTCACTGTGTTGTCCTTAAAAGACTCATTTCAGGATTGATTATTGCCATTATATATATGTTCACATTAAAGTCAGTGAGGACAGGAGGGAGGCCGCTAGTGTACAGGGACCATATTCAGGAAGGCATTTAGTGTATGTCCTGTTGGAGTCAATGGAATTGAGACTTGAGAATAGGAGGCTTCAGTTTTGACACAGGACTCTTAGATGATTAGCTGTACTCCAGAGTCAAAAGGTATAAGAGGGTTTAGGCCAGATTAACTCCATTGCAATAGATGAAACTGAACTCTGAAGGGCCATTTACTTTTAACAAAATTTAAGCAGGTTTTGAAGTACTTCTTGAGTTAGTACTATTTCTGGTACCAAATTAATCTGGTTGTATTTTTCTACATTCTCATTTCTTTTCCTATAACTGGATAGAATGGAGGATGTCCTATAACTTTGTAACCACCTAAAATAGGCACAAAATAGGTGGAATGAAAACAAGAGAGCATGGGGGAAAGGTTCTGGTGTTGCATCCCTGTTGGTCCGTATGTTGCCTATTGCAAGTTCTTTGAAGCATGGACCCATCTTGCTGTATATCTTCAAGATGCCTAGCACACTTCTGAATACTGCATAAAGCTTAATTATAGTAATAATATGGAAAGTGTAATCTCTGTTAGTTACTATGCTGCTCAGTAGCCCCAGTTTTGCATGTCGGTGGGAGTTTCCAAGAACACTGTTGTTTGTGACCATTTGAAAATTCTTGGATTTCAAAGAGCCTGACCTTTCAGATATAAAACTAAGCTTTACAAAAAAAAAATCTCAGGAATGTTTGGGTATATTGTTATAACGATTATTACATTGCTTTGATATATTTTGTTCCTCATCTGCACAATTTTTAGGGTTTTTAGACCATTCTTTCTGAATGACTGAGCTTTCACAGAAACAGAGGTTTCTAAATTCCACACTGATCAAAAATTGTCTGACAGTATGGTGTGTTTCGTTTTTTTTTGAGGGTGGGGGTGGGTTAGTTTTTTGTTTTTAAAGAACCAACCTGACTTAAATCTGATGTTGTGCTGTCTGTGTAACGTCTGAAGCTCCAGAAACTGGGGTGTCTAAACTTTTTTAATTCCTAAAAAAAAAAGAGCTAGAGATGTATGGATTTAAATGAATCTGATGCAGAACGTGTCTCTTGTATTCTATTTTCTGGGAATGATAGTTTAACCCGTCTGAATACCCCATTTACAGTAGAATGGAGAAGAAAAGATTAAATAACTCCTGCCAAGGATGGCAATCTTTTAATCTTCTAGCTATCTTGCTAGCTAGAACTGTCTGTTAATAGAAGGTATGACCCCTCTTTTAGGAACCTCAGATGAGTATTTTGAAAAAGGTTGGTATAATTAACACATTTTAGTTGATGGAATACAGTTAAAAGTTCCTTTAACTTCACTGACAGGATTGAATCCTGTCAATCATAGACCCCAGAAGATGTGGTAATGAAGTATGTAATCCATTTCTTAGAAAAATTTTGTGGTTTCTTGACATTTTTAGGGCATGATTCTGGTACCCTTTCTCATGTTGAATAGCATCTTACTTCAGGAGTGACTTCAGTGGGACTTAAGGACATGCTTAAGTGCTTTGTTGAGTTGGGATGATTTGCTAAATTGGGGACATAATAAGGTGCTACTCAACATAAGTAAAGGGGGCAGAATCGCTCCCCCCTCTTCATTTCCCCACCCCGCCATCTTTTGAATGTGACAGTTCTGGTAACTGATTTTTTTTTTTTTTTTAAATGTATCCTTGACCTTTGCAGGTGCATTGGAACTGACACAGGGAATAACACTGAGGTAACGTTTTAGTCCATGCAAGGGCTTTAAGCTAAACAAATTCATGCTAGAAATAAAGTCTGCATTTTTAACCATGAGGGGTAATTAACGATTGAAACAACTTCCTAGGGATAGGGGGGATTCTCCATTTCTTGAACTTCTTTAAGTCAAGACTGGATTTCTTTCTAAAAGATGGATGCTATCACTGAAATAAATGTATGGACTAAATAGTTTATTGGGTGAAGGTCTATGACTTGTGTTATGCAGGAGGTCAGACTGGATGATTTTAACAGTCTCTTCTGTCCTTAAAATCTATTAAATGCTATCTACTTCTACCATGTAAAGTACTTGGTTAGTTGTGACCCCAGTTTACCAGCCATGAGTCTGACTAGACACTAAAATGGATTTATTAATAGCAAGATTAGAAAACGGAGGTAATTATTATAGGTGGGGTTGGGAAAATGTCGTCTTATTAAGGTTGCCTGATATGTCCTATTATAAGACCTGTTTTCAGTTGTTTATAACATTGCCAAACTTTAGCTGATTCGTCTGAAATTTTCCACTTTGAAGATCTGTCTCAAGCAGAATTTTTTTTAACATTTTTTAGCCAAAACAGTTGCATTGTTTCTGAGAACAACGCTAGGAAAAAAAATCTTGTTTTGCCCATTTTAAAAAAATTCTGGTGTCCTTTTCTTTGAAAACTGTAGTTGGCCCCATGCTTTGGAGCAGGGACTTGAAATTTGCAGGAGGGTGATCTTTGTGTCAGGGATGTGCCTTTTGCTATCCCCTGATAAAACTACCCAAGTTACAAGCTTTTGAAAAATTGCAGTTCACACATGGTCAGTCAAGACTTGCTAGAGCATTCCAGCTAAAATCGTGGAAGATTCTGTCCTCACTGAGCATGCTTGAACCTCTTGCAGCTACTGGTGTTGACCAGACTGTACATGTACTGTCCCCATAGAATGACAGAACATGGTCCAGCCCAGGGCTACAGAGGCCAAAGCTGGACTTCCCCTATCATGGCTGCTCCGTGCCACAGTGGAGCCAGTCTCTCCTATGCTCTCAATGATACCTCACCCCTGCTGGCACCCAGACAGAGAAAGCCGTCTGATCAAATGCAGAGGGGACAAAAAACAGAGCAGGGAGGAAGGAAAAGGAGTAGATTGGGACAAGGAGATTTTTGGAACTGGGAGCTGGGACTGGGAGGCAAATTAATTCTGGTATTTTCTAGCATTTGAGTGCTTGACTTTGCAGCCTTAATTTTCTTCTAATAATTTCAAATTACACCCAAAAAACATTGGCTAGTAGACAAGGGTGTGAGATAGGCATCCTTAGGTATGCCACTGGATGGACCACAAATAAATATATATATATATATATATATATATATTTTGGTACTTACTGCAGTCCTTATTTGGGAATTGGCTATTATGTGGCTCAGTGACTTCAATGGGGCTATGCTTGTTAGTCAGCAATAGACTGAAGCTAGTGGGGCAGAGTCTCATCTGGTGTAAATTGTCATAGCTCTGTTGAAGTCCATGACAACTGACCCACCAGCTGAGGATATGCCCTTATGTTTGCAAGATCGGTTTATTTATTTTGAAATCACAAAGGAGTCTTAAATTTGTCTGAAGTTATTTGGCTTTTATTTAAACAAATAAAAATAACTAAATAGCCTTTTTGCTGGAAATGAACCAAGAATTCACTAAATATGGTGGGATTTAAATTGTTCCAAACAGATCATTAGAGTCTTGCTGCTACCAGATAACAAAAGAGAACATAATAATTTGAGGAGGATACTCATACTGAAACCATTTATACTTTACAATAAAAGCTTCTTACAAAGATTGCTGGGCATACAATTAAGAAGAATGTTTTATCAGCTGCAGTGTTTATGCTGTTAATACCCTTTTTTTTAAAATTTCAGAACAATAAATCTAAACAATAATTTACTGCAACAAGTGCTAGGAAGAAAACATGAGGTACTATGTATCTTGACAGAAAAGATCGTAACAACTCAAAAGTGTTTGGTGTCTGAACATATTCAGACGGAAGAAAAATATGGTGGCGTGGTGGGACTCCGTACAAAAATTGTAAAGGTAACGTAACAAAACAACCCACCAACCATGCAGCGCGCACAAATATTTCTTCAACGTCATTAGATGCCTTAAAAACCTCAGTTATGGTATTAAAAAAACAATAACTGAGAAAATTTCCACTTTTTTTTCCTCCTGATTTTGGACAAACCATATTATAACTGACCATATCCTGCCCTTGATTTATTAATTGATTGAATAGATCTGTTTCTTCTCTTACTGCTAGAGCTAAGCACATAACTGGCAATGAGCATGTTATCTAATTAATTTAGCCCTTTCTCCTCCATATGAATTTTCTGAGAACAGATCACTTTCTTCATATGTATTCATTATTTTTAAGTATTTGGCAATTTTTGTCTATTTTAAACTGTATCCGTTGCAAATGGTTCTCCACAAGTATTCGATACATTGTTTAGTTGTCACTGATTGGTAGAGTTCCCTAGTTGGATGAGTGTGCAAGCTCTTTTGGGGTGAATCTAGAACCTGGTTTCCATGAATACTCTTGGCATGTGATTCAGTTTTTGTGAACATTCATGCCCATGACATATGATAACACAAATGTTAAAGAAACGACACTTTAAAGGGGCAAGAGCACAGCTGAAGCCAATTCATGTAAAAATTCAAGTGACTATTTAGAAACCAGATTTTGCCCTGTCGCCCAGCTCCACAGAGTACGAGGATCCTCATTGTTTGACCGTTTTCTTCAGGTGCGTTCAAGGTGCTTCTGAAATAACTGTAACAAACTGAGGCAAAATCATCAGAACTACCAACAAATCCCCACTGTAGGGGCACTTCCACTGACATAAAGCTGGCAAAGGTACCTGCTTTACCAGTTCTTGTGCACCTGGTTGTAAAGAGGTCGGGGATGAGCAGGAGGGGTGTCAGGATGGGAGGGCAGAGCAGCAGTATGACAAAGCGAGGACCAGTTTTTTCCCCTGACTTCATGGGACTTTACACCAGGAGCATAAGTGAAAGCTACCCCCTGCACACACTGGGGCTGGAAGCTGAGGGTTGAGGTGCTGCTCTTGTCTCTTACCACTGGGCTGAGCTCAGGCCCAGAGAGCTTTGTTAAGATAAATGTTCAGACCTCTAATATCACATGTGATCTTGATTTGGGCACAGTGGAGAATTGAGCTAATGCTTTTCCTAATCTAATTTTTGTTACCCTGAAGTTCATTTTGTGTGCAAGCTGCTCTGTAGTTGAATCAAATAAACAGTGGATGAATCTGTCCCCCAGGTTTCAGTGAGCGAAAATGGGAATGTGAGAAAGGATTCCAATGTGGTCTTAGAGATTCCTGCTCCCACCACTATTGCCTATGGCATAACTGAACTGTATATAAAGCGTGATGGTCAGTTCGGTAAGTACAATGCCCGTTTTCTTTTGCATGTAGCTCTGCTATGGAAAAGAGCTACCTCCTCAAGTAAAGCCTTTCATTCACCTGCAGGCTTACAGCACCTGGTTCTTGCATAGTCGTTTACACCAGTGCGAAATGGGCATAAAATGTTGCTACCATTTTTATTTAGTAGCATTTTATACACTCTTCATGCTCACTTTTCATTAGTATAAATAACTGCATAAGATGCAGGGCAACAGTCACAGTATTGCCTGTCTGTACAACATTTTATTAGAAAAAATGAAGAAATAAAGTGTGAGGCTGGTAGTTCATGAGCTTTACTGATTTTACATTCAAATGAATATAGATTAGCTCAGAAAAAGACTGTAAAAATTTCCTTGCCATGTTCAGTCTTTGTCTCTTGGTTACTTCAGATCAGATTCACTCAGATTACAAGTAAAAATACATTGGGGTTGGAGATTTTGGTTTGTTTTGCTGAGTTTTTTGGTTTGTTTTGTAACTCCCTGCTCTGGACAGTCCATCTGGGCTCTTCCTTGTGTATCATAACTACAAATCCCAGACCCATGTGAGGTTACAGAGGATAATGTGCAAGAAGGAAAGAACCCAGGTTGAGTGTGCAGTGCAGGCAGTTAGAAAAGTTAACGCATCCGAGATGAACTGTAGGTGTCCTTAACGTGCAATTGAGATGTAAACCTACAATGCATCTCATTTGGGTCTGTTACAGGAGATGATGGCCAGCTGGAATCTGGACTGACTTTTTAATCTCCTGATGATGAGTTTGTAGGACTGGCAGGAATAATAATAATAAAAAAAAAATTCTAAACAAAATGTATTTGACCTAAAGTCATCGAGACACGATGAACAGGAAAATTCCATAAGGCCGTGCATTTTATAGTCGCTTTTCAGAACTGAACTGCATTTCCCAGTTAACTACACTACGCTGAATCAGGTCTTAATAAGACATCAGGCCAACGATGTGTATTGAAATATTATTTAGTAAAAGTTTGTGGCTGGGAATCTCTCCCTGGGAATATCCTGTGTTCTGTCAGCTAGTTAGTGTGTGAATGCATTCATTGATCCGTATTCTCATGTGTTTCTTCACTGCTGCCTGACCCTATTTTCATTTTAATTATCTAGTCTTTCCCTCTTCATAAACAACATATGTCTCATGTTGACTTTATTTGTTGGACTTCATAAACAACATATGTCTAGTGTCTTTTTTTTTTTTTTTTTAATTTTAGTTTGTTGCAACAATCATCCATCCCTTCCCTTCCTTTCAGTGGGCAGGGAAACCAGTGGGACTAACTGCAGAGTAAGGTACTCTTCAGCAAGAGTAAGAGTGGAATTAATATCTGCTTAAGAATATAAGAATTGCCATACTGGATAAGATCAGAGGTCCATCTAGTCCAGTGTCCTGCCTCTGATAGTGGCCAGCTCCAGCTGCTTCGGAGGAAGATGGAAGAATCTCCATAATGGATAATTATCGAATAACCTTCACATGAGTCTTGTTTGTTCTCATTTCTGTCAGTGGTTGGCTTATGCCCTAAGGCATGAGAGTTTAGTCTCTCTCTATCTCTCCTCCTCTCTGTATATACACTCTCTAACATGGCTAGGGAGGGTCTTAGCTATAAAAATGTCTAATCCTTTTTTGAATCCTGCTGAACCCTTTAGCACAGTGATTTTTGTGTGTCTGTGTTCTACAGGTTAATTATGCACTGAATATAAAAACACTCCCTTTTAAAGGGTTGAATTTTTTTCCCTTTTGATTTCATTTTGTCCCCTTCGTTTTGTGTTACGACAGCGGATAAATAGTAGCACCTGGCTGATTTTGCTTTGTACCATTCATTGTTTTATATACCTTTGACGTGTCTCCCCTTAATCATCTTAGTGTCTCTGCGTCTCATCATTTTCATTGCCCATCTCTGGATCTCTTCAGTTCTTGTCACCTTATCTCAAACATGCTGGCAGAAACCGATGACTGTGTTCTAGGAGAGGGTGCACCAATGATTTTATATAGTGGCATTACGATATTTTGACTTTCCAATCCTCTCTGCCCTCACCCCCACCTCTATAAAGAGTCATGCAAACTTAATGTGCTATAAAAATAATGAACGATAGTAACAATACAAACTTTCATAACTTGTTTGCTTTTGAATCCAGATCTGTTATGGGATTTGACAGTTGTAACTGCCTCATTTATTTTCACATGATGCTGTGTATGTATTTCAGTCACTGGCCTCATTCTCCCATAAAGGGCAGTTGGGTTTTTTGTTGTGTTTTTGTTTTTCTTTTTTTAGTGATAGCTTCTCCCTTCAGGTGTGCGTATGTAAATCACTCTAACAGTAATGGGAGTAACACAAGCATACTGAGACAAGACTATACTCCTTAGTCAGTAATGCCTTGGCTGCTGCCCTTGCTGGGAAAGGCTTTTATTTGTTTTAATCTCTTTCTGTTCCTCTTTAAGTTGTTTTACAGGTGACAGCAGCTTTCTGAAAGATTGCTTTTTTTCCCCTTCCTTCTGTAGCAGAGATTTTTTTCCCCCTCACCCTTTGAAATACCTGTTTACTTTTGGACTTTCTTCTTTGTCACATACTACTTTAAAACTGACTTACTTTTTTTAGTCTACCCATTTGTTTTGCTACAAAATGCCATGGATGGTATATGGTTCAATATCTTTTTGGGCCATTAAATTTTGTAATAACATACAGGGTCTTGGATTATTTCACATATATTATTCTTTTGGGCATGGCCTAGTGGTCTGAGCATAGGTCTGGAAGTTACAAACTTGTACATTCTAATCCTGGCTCTGACAGTGGCTCCCTTTGTGTCCTTAATTTCTGCCTTGGTTTCCCCATCTGTAAAATTAAACTTGCCTAACTCTCAGGGTAGTTACTGTTTGTGAAGAACTGTAAAGCTGGACATTGTTGGGTAGACAGTACTCTGTTACTAGTGATAGTCTTCCATATGATGAGCCAGATTGTGCCCTCTGAATTGAGTAGAGAAGGGATCCTCCACACACAAATGTCCCCTCTCTTTCACAGAAGGGTGGATCAGTGCCTTCTGTGGCATTGCTCCCACCTCCTTTCCAGTAGCCCACATAGAAATCTGGCTGGGGGCAAGGAAGTGGCAGCCCCACATTGGCTGGGGTAGAGGATGTACATTAGCCCATCGTGAACTGACCGAGACTAGACTGGAAATGTAATGCAGCTCGAAGCTGTATTTCCTTTCCCATGGAGTCTCCTCCACAGTGGGTGTCTCCCTTGAAGGGTAGTCCTGGAGGCATCCATGGCCAGAGGAAGACCCTAGTGATGCGACTCTGTGGGAGCCAGGCTGCTACTGAGCTAGCATGGACCTGGCCTCTCACTGATCTATGGGGCTTAGGGATGGACCTTCAGCCTTCCAAAAGCCAGGCAGCCCCATAGAAGAACCAGGGCAAAGCTCTGAGGGATGCTCATGGAGTTTTCTGACTTGTAGCTCTTTCCCAGGGGTTTCCTGCAGGAAGGGGTGATCTGGCCCACTGTATAGAACATCTAGTAGTTTATAGATAATGTGAGAAATATATAGATCCTTCCCTCATATATAATATGCAGGTTTTAATTGTCCACGAGGAGCATTGTTCTAATTTAGCAGATTGCTTCTTTTCTTGGTATTTGCTGAACGGATTATTAAATGCATCCACAAAATCTTGTCTCGCGTTCTGTAGTTAGTACCTGTTTCCATTTACATCAAGGCAGATCTGTGCACAGTACTGTTCTAAATAAGCAACAACATATAATGTACAGTAGTTAGCCATTTTTTTCCATCTACAAGAAATCAGTTACATAGCCTTCCTGAGTGCATGTTTCTAATGTCTACATTGAAAGTTCTAGCATTAATATTTGCTTCTGTCCACTCATGTGGTTTTATTTATTTATTCACTTGTGTTTCTAATTACAGAATTCTGTCTGCTAAATGAGCAAGAAGGAGGTTTTGAAAGAGAAAACACAGAAGGCTCATCTTATCCATATTCTTTACCATTTAGAGACTCTTCCTTTCTATATCAGCCAGACGCTGTGGATAGTGACAGGCACTCTGGAGATAGAAACATCATTCCCAGCGATGCGTCCTTAAGTGTACTGAAACAAGGTATTACCAGAAACGCTTTATTTGATTACACTACAGAGTCTTAAGCAAGATAACAGAAGGAGGTATTCTTGCAGAATAGTACACAGAAATTATGCTGTCCTGTTTTAATAGCCTCTAGCAATAACTCCTTGGTGATCACTTAGAAAAAATTGGAAGATATTGTACTTCTGGAATGAATGTATGAAGGGAATGGGAGTAAGTTGTTTCTCTCCTAGGAACATATTGTTACCCTTTGTCATAAATATAACCTTGTACAGTTTTGGTTTTACATCCATTTTATTATATCCCTGCTAAACTGCACAAGATTAATAATTTATGTTGGCACTGAAAAATGTTCATTGAGAATATTTGACACATGATGTGAAAACATTCTCTTAGTAAAGCTTCTCGGGGAAGGTTATTTGACATCTCCAGAAATACAAAGCAGTTTTTTCTTCATGAACCTCTCTGAGTTATGAGAAACCTTGAAAAAATCAGAGTTGAACACTAGGACTAAACTCAGATGTGAGCTAAATGGCAGTGCAAATTACATGTTGGTAAATTAAGTGGCTAGGGAGTGGAATGGTACAGTTGTACCAAAACAACAAACAGGAAGGAGTAAGAAGGTCTAAAATAAAGGAGGCCCCATCCCTCTTTTATATTGCCTCCAGTAGTCCTGCCTTTACACCCACTTCCACATACCAAGGTGTAATTTACCAGTTATGTCACCTCTGAATTTGGCCCTGAGTTCAGTTTAGTCAATAATTTATGACCAAAATAGCCATTTTATTGCACTAGAATAAATCCTATTCTTCTCTAGTGTAGACTTGCTTAAGAGAACTTCTCTTTGTAGGGATAACAGGTTTGTTTTTTTGTGTGGGAAGGACTCTGTGTTGCACTGTTATTTCTTAATACCCTCTGTGCCTGTCTTACTTAAAGAATTGTCATTCTGTTTCTTTGATTAACCTACCCTATTTATTGAAATGCTTTTATATTGGAATAATTTGGGGAAGGTGTTTGACCTCCTTCCCCCTTTTTCTCCCATCATGATGTTCTAGTATTGGTATAATTATTTGGTTGACCCATATGGAGAGACACTACCTAGAGTAAAATTATTGTTTTTCAATGTCTTATAATTATTGATGTGAAACAGGCATCTTTAAAGATCATGTGTTTGTTTGACAAGTGTTACAGTAGGCTTTAAAAGTAACATCCGGCATCTTCAGGGATTAAATAAAAAAAAAAACCCAAACCCTATATTTCTGTTGTTGACTGGAACTCACTGCTGGAATATTGATTTCCTACTCATAAAACATCTTGGCTTAATACCACGTTTGCACTGCAGGAAAAGGAATCTAATAAACTGTAGTTGAGTTTTTAAACTACATACTGTAATAGGTTAAATATTATGTAAAACATAAAACATATGTTTTTTTTGGTCAAAGGAGAGAGGTGTAAAGCTGGTGATGATGAAATATATGAGGACAGTAAAATAGTGTTACTGTCTGAGTTTTTAATTTGAAGTATGAACAATATCATCAGCCTTAGTTATTCATGATGTTTTACCATAATATGAAGCAGTTCAGGAATAAAATATTCTGGTTGAGAAGTAAGACTACCTGGTTCTAAAAATGAACATCCTACTGGGAATCATGAACAGCTTTCATGTGAAAAACAGTATTAATATATTGAAATCTTAAAACTGAATATTGATGCCTATAACAGTATTTATTTTCTCTCAGTTTGCACTGACACTTCATTAATTTGCAAAGGTCACTAGTAAAACACACCTGTAACCAAATGTGTCCTACATTTCATTGTGAATTCTAGAGATTAGTGATTACAGAATTTTAGTTGCATATACTGGCATTTGTAAGAGTCATGAGTTTAACATTGTATTTCTTTCTTGGAAAGATCTGTTGCTGTTAAAGATGCAGTTCCAACCCTTTGTGAAGCTTCCAGAAGACAAGCAAGGAGCTTTAAATAAAATATTTTATGAGCTCTTGCATCATGAAGAAATTGTGATTGCACTGGAGGAGGTGGTAAGATGATGGAACTTTTTTTTTTCTAAAAATAATAGAGCTAACACGTCCCTCTATTCAAACACTACTTTTATAAGTATTCTTTAACAAGTTTTGTTGACTTCAGTGGGAGGAAGATCAGGGTTTGTTTCTCTGTCTAGTTTAAAATGTGAGAACCTAATAATGTATCTTTTTTTTTCCTCTTTCCAGTTAGATAGTATTTTCACAGGAGAAGAGCCGGATTTTACAGATCTGAAGGAGTTGAAACCTCCACAGCAGCAAAACATAACCGACTTCTTGCAGCTGGTCGGGTACAGTTTACAGAATGAGCTGTTGCAGAAAGACCAGTTTCATTATAAGGGCCTCTTCTCAGCTGCTCACATCCTGATCAGTGCAGTGGCAGGTACAATGGAGATAACTGCAGCTTTCCCACTTAAAAACTCCTCTTTTGTGTACAGCATGAATTTTTATTTTGTAGGTAAATTGCAACAGCTGGGTAGCTTCAGTACATGTAGTGATTTCTGTTTCAGTTTTATGGGGCTAGGGTGGATAGAGAAGAAAGCACTTTGTGGTTCAGGCTAAGAATTAAATTCAAACCCTTTTCACTACATATTTTACAAGTAAAATTTAACGTTCCCTGGAAATCATTTGATTTGAGCTTCCATTGAAGCCAGACCTTTTCACTCAGTTTTGTAAATGATTTACTGTTCTTGTGCATCCGAATCCTTCATATCTAGTGTCTCAGGGTTGCACTATAGGTGCTGGCTTCCTTGTATTTGCTGAATATGTGGCTTATGTTGAAGTACAAACCATATTTAGCAAAAATACTTTAATATGTAGATCTGTAATTAGAGGGTTTTTATGCTGCCACAGAAAAAGGAAATTAAACATAAATGTAAATGAATGCCACCCTCACAATGAAATTGGCACTACAGTGTTAATTAAAAGCCACCTGCAAATCCAACTTTCTTTCTCATAAAAATCTTCGTTCCATTAAGTCAGGTGTTGAGAGGAAGTGAATTGTGATATTGGGTAACCATGTAGCACTGTACAGTGGAAGGTCAGTTTATATGCAAATACATAGCACCAGTTTATGAAAGATAAGAGACCTTTTGAAAGCATGACCCAGTGCAGAGATTCAAAAGCAATTGAACAAAACAGACCTGTTGATGTACTGATACTTTTTATAGTCTGACAAGTAATGTACAGTTCATCGGATGTAACCTGGCTCTGGACATAATATCTAGATCTGACATTCATGTATACCTGAAGCAGTATCCGTAACCAGAAAGCTGCTTTGTAGCTGTTTTCCACTGGGAATTATAACGATATGGATTATACAGCGTGTCTCTCATATTAATGTTGGGGCAAAGACCCTGTCTTCCTTTAAGCCCAAATCCTCTGTCCAGCACCCGGACCTAATACCATGCCTGGCACTAGGATAGGCAGGAGACAAGGAGAGAGAAATTCTCCCACCCATGCTGGAAAGCTGCCTTTACCACCCAAAGGCTTACATGGCCCTCCTAGCTCCACCCCCTGCCAACCTACTTGCACCGCCCGATATGCTGCTGCTAGGTTCACGCAGAGCAGGACTCCGCAACACACGGAGAGTATACACGCTTAGTGCAGCTCCTAGCATCCGTTTCCTCCCCCACGTAGACTTAAAGGCTGTAAGGCCAGAAGGGGCCATCACGATCATCTAGTCCAGGGGCTGGCAAACTTTTTGGCCTGAGGGCCGCATCGGGTTTCCAAAATTGTACGGAGGGCTGTTTTAGGGGAGGCGGCGTGTCCCCAAACAGCACACGCCCTGCCCCCCCCACAACTCCCCTGACCTTTATCCAAACCCCTCCCTCCCCCCCCCCCCCCCCCCAACCATGCTGCCTGGAGCACTGGTGGCTGGGAATGCTACAGCTGCACTCCCATGCACCACAGAGCACCGGGTCAGGCCGGGCTCTGCAGCTGCACTGCCCCAGGAGCTCATAGCCCCCCCCACTGCCCAGAGCACTGTGCCGGCGGTGCAGTGAGCTGGGGCTGCAGGGGAGGGGGAACAGTGGGGGAAGGGCTGGGGGCTAGCCTCCCAGGCCAGGAGCTCAGGGGCTGGGCTGGAGGATCCCGCAGGCCATAGTTTGCCCACCTCTGATCTATGGCCTGGAACGTGCAGGGGGTCAGACTAGAACCTCGCCTGCCCACCCGCTCCTATAATAGAATCATAACCTCTGAGTTACTGAAATCCTCAAATTATGATTTCAAGACTTCAAGTTACAGAGAATCCACCATTTGCACTAGTTGAGACCTGCAAGTGACCTGTGACCCATGCTGCAGAGGAAGGTGGGGGGGGGGGGGGGGCAAAAAACCCAGGGTCTCTGCCAATTGGACCTGGGGAAAAATTCCTTCCTGACCCCAAATATGGCGATCAGTTAGACCCTGCGTATGTTAGCAAGAATTTTATGTAGTAAGTCCAAGCCCTCCCCATCTAGTGTCCCATCACTGGCCATTGGAGATATTTGCTGCTAGCAGTCGCAGATCAGCTACATGCCACTGTAGGCAGTCCCATCATAACAACCCCTTCGTAAACTTATCAAGCTCAGTCTTGAAGCCAGTTAGGTTTTTTGCCCCCATTGCTCCGCTTGGAAGGCGGCTTCTGCTGCCTGGAGAGCTTGTACACACACAAGGAAGGGGCTAGATTTGGCTCTTATGGATGTGCAGCACAAAGCACACTGACAGTGCTCAATAAAACACACAATAGTCTTCAGTGGTGGGTTTGTGTTGGTCTCCAGAGCACTTTATACTAATCAGGACAGCACTGAAGAGAAGCAGTGGGGCTGTCACTGCCCAGCAATGGAATTTCATAACTGTGTGTGTGTGTAGGCTTAGCTTGTTCATATACATCCCTACAGGCTATTTTTTAGCAACCAGCCTGCTTCAGAGATCATGGAAACTTAACTCTTCTTCTTCTATCTCCTTCCACAGAATTGTCTGACTACACACTGGCTCTGCTGCGTGCTTGCTGTGATATACAAATAGTCCCTATCCTGTGTTGTTTGGTAAGTAATCCAAAAGGGAGTGGACTGCCTTAGTGTTCAGAGGTCAGTCCTAGTGACTGTAAGGAGTCTGTAGGCTCTGGCTGATTGTATCTGTCATTAAATAAAGGAGAGGTCAGAATATGCTTCAAGTTACATCAGTAGGCATTGATTAAGCCTAGTCACCATCTGGTCCAGTGTTTTAAAATGACAAACAGTGCAGCTAGTTTAAACCAAAACTGGATTTCTTCCTTCTGACATGTTGTGGCATGTAGAAAACTAAATGAAATGTGAAGCAAGAGAAAATAGGAACTTTGGTTCAAGTGTCAAAGGTCACAATTTTATTTTACTAAACATCTAATTAGACCACTTCATAAACCAAAAACCTGCAGTGGGCATCAGAGGCAGGTGAGGTAGGAATTGCATTGTGAAAACAGTAATATGTAGGCAGTGATAGGTTTGAAGTGCAGAAACTCTGAGCCTGCCTGTTACAATACTTTGTTAGAGGTTGTGAGGAGAGGGGTGGGAGTTCTCAGTTGCTCTAGGTTCTGTTGGGTTCAGTGACCAAACTTTGGTAGGGAGCTATAGGCAGGCTTGTGAAGAACAAGGATCAGAGTGGAAAGTCAGCTAAGGGAAGAGGAGCTGAACTTGCCATCTGGAAGCAGAATGACTGGTGTCGGGGAGGGATCAGAGGCCTGCAGAGGAAGGATAGGTAGCTGAGGTTGTAGGATAGGCTGGAGTGCTCTTGGCCATGGACCACTCTGTCCCACTACACAACCATGCATGTAGGAACCCTGAGCTTTGAACTTCTTTGGAAGTCCTCTGGCTAGCTGAAACTGTCACAACGCCCCCTCGATTGCTGGTCCAGGGGCTTACGTTGATAGTGGCCAGAAAAGATGTGGGTCTCATCCTTTCTATCTATCGGAGCAATGGCAGTCTCTATAGGGCACTGGGGGCTAAGGATTACATATGGAAATAGTAGCCCCCACAGTGAGGACCTGAGCAAGAGGCTTCACTCAGCTGCTTTGAGGAAAAGGATTGCAGTTAAAGCATCACTTTCCTTTGACACCAAGCCCCTACTTTAAGTGAGTGTTGGGGCAAAACGAGCGCCTCCATTGTCGGTGCCAGTCTGAGATATCTTGGGCCTGATTTTTTTAGATTTGCCAAGCACCCCAAACTCCCAAGGAAGTCACCAGGAGCAGCAGGGTGTCAGCTCCTTTGAAAGCCAGGCTCATGTTGTCTCAAATGGGACACCAAAAACGGAGGCATCTAAAATTAGTGGACGCTTTTGAGAATGTCTGTGTGAGCTTAAGTCTCGATTCAGTCTGAATGGAATCACACTTGTTAATCTTTACTCTACCTAAATGTATCTTTTGGCAGCAAGACAATATATTTTCTCGTTTTTCCAGAACCTGAGTCCCCTGAGTTTTACTGCAGAGAGCAAAGATCTATGATGTCAGAAACTGTACTCTATGAAAATAGCTTTAACCTCTTTCTGTCTATATAAACACAGCCTAATGTCGCTTCAGCTGATGGCACTTTGACACTGAGAGATCCTGCCCTGGCCCCCCTGACTGACACAGGAAGATTTCACATAGTGCAAAGGCTGTTTGCCCTGTCAAACATCAACCTTGAAATGATGGAGTCTTCAATGAAAGCTGTAACCATGAAAGAACCTAGCTTTTTCCCATTCATTCTTTATATTGCCTTGTATGGATTTTATGCCTTAGGTGGGACCATCTGAGGAAAAAAGAAAAACCTAGAATAATAGCTGAACATACTGCACTAATAAATGCCAGATCTGCCGTGCTATAGAACCCTGCAAATTTTGCACTCATGTGCCTGGGAGACAACTGCAAATCACTGAATTTTGTAACCAAGTGGGTGAGTAAATGAACATGAAAAATACAAGGGCACTGCATCCCAGCATGGTCATTGTTCATTTAGGGCCTGGGCCTGCAGAGTGCCCTCAAGTGCTACTCAACTCGGCACCTTGCAAAATCAGGCGTTTATTTTGTCAGTAGTAGTTTAGATTGATTTATGGCAATACTCCACAGTATAGCAAATACTTCATGTCTCTCATTTACTTTCCTAAAACTAATCAAATTAGTGATTAGACCTCACTACAGCATCTTTACCGATCACTTTTTTGTGCAAGTTTCAGCAGCATGCGATGTTTGTTACACCCTAAACTCTCGCTTAAAAATGTAATGATTCCTTTGGAGGTGTATGTATGTACTTCACTCTGGTTCAGTCCAGACAAACACTTGTTCTACCCTTCTGACCTCTTCAGTGTGGTGATTTTTTAATAAAAGTAAAGTATTTGTTCTCAGTGCATTACTTTGCTATCTGTCCTCTTTAATCCTAATTGGGGTGTTTTCTTCCTCGTATGAATGGTGATAAAATATCACTGCTCTAAAAATAAAATATCACTGCTCTAAAAATACAGTGCAAATAATTGTAAATGTTGGTTTGGGAAGATTTCAGTTAAAAGACTGAGGGTCATGTTCTTATACTGCATGTAGTGGATCGTAAAGTGAACAAAGGCAGCATTGTGGAAGTGTGCCTAGGCGGGAAGAATGGTTCAGTATCTAGGGTGCTAACCTGGGATTAAGGAGATTGGGGTTCAATTCCCTGCTCCCTTCCTCTGTGATTTTAAACATGTCATTTAGGGCCAGATTATCAAAGATATTTAGGTGACTAAAAGTACAGATTGACACCAAGGGATTTACAAGCTAAGATTGCAATGGCCGTTAGGGTGCCTAAACTGCTTTGGAGCTTTTGGAAATCCCATTAGGTGCCTATCTGCATCTTTGGGCACCTAAATACCTTTAAAATCTGGTCCCCGGGCTCTAAGCCTCCATTCCCCATCTGTAAAACAGGAGATAATAGCACTGCCTTACCTCACAGGATGCAGGGAGGATACATACATAAAGATTGTGAGGTGCTCAACTTCTATGGTGGCAAAGGCCACATAATTCCTTTACTAGACACTCACTGTCTGTCCGATGAAGTCAGCTCACTTAAGCTTATGCTCAAATTTGTTAGTCTCTAAGGTGCCCCAAGTACTCCTTTTTCTTTTTCCAAATACAGACTAACACAGCTGCTACTCTGAAACCTGACACTGTCTATCGTTTACTGTCGTCATTTGTTAATTTGTAAGTGGGGAAAGTGGAGTCCCTTTGTCTAATAATAATTAACCTACTTTGCTGTTTAACTGCCAACCACTAACTCTTTGAAAGCATTTTCATTGTAACAGTGTAAATTATCAACTGTTTGAATTTAACATTTGATCTGAAAACAGAACCGTAACTTACTTCTCATTTTGTTCCATTGTGTTTATACATTATGGACATAGTCAGTCTCTTAGGCATAATACATCACCCCACACATGAGCAAATTAGAGTCCATGGCACATTTGACTGAAATAATTTTGGGATAAGCCTGCATACAGTATTTTGCTCAAGGACTTCGGTGACAGGGTTAGACTAATGGATTTTTATGAGGGCTGAATCCCCCTTCCCTAGGCTTCAGAGGCTGAGCTGCACTCTGAGCAGTGGATTCAATGCCCTGTCGACACAGCTACTTTTAGTGCAAGGCTTGTTGACCCGGCTGGGTCCAAAATGCTGTGTAGGCATACCCAGAGTAGAATGGCCACAGATCTGCTCCAGAGCGGAAGGAGCTTTCTACCCCTGTCTGTTGGTGAACAGAGGGAAATATGGTTAGAGACTTGCATAAACTTTCTACCCAGAATTCTTCCATTGATGTGTCAGGAGCCACCATACTAGTACACAAACTCAGAATTGCTGGGCTAATGGAACAGAAAGGAGAGTAGGAAAGGGCTTTTACCTTGGAGCAAGGACTATTTCTGTTTTAAGGGTCCTGTATGGTACTGATTACCTGCCACTGCCGGCGTGTGCCTTCTTTGGGAAGACTCTTCAAAGGAAGATGAAACGGGACAACAGCACAGTTGAATGAACTTGTGTGAGGCTCCTCCCATACAGCCCATAAATAAAGCTCAAGTCAATATAGCTAGGGTAGCGGGTGCCATCTTCTGAAAGGACCAAGCACAAATTCCCAAAGGGCTGGAGGCAGGCATGCCCACATTCATCTCAGGACTTTGGACAGCTGCTTCTGGGAGCTGCACAAAGCAAGGGCAGGCAGGGAGCCTCCCTTAGCCCCACTATGCTGCTGATCAGACTTTTAATGGCCCAGTCAGCTGTGCTGTCCAGACCCCCCAGGGTCCCTTTCTGGACAAAAACCAGATGCCTGCAACCCTACCTACCTCCAATTGCCCTCCCTTCCAACAGCCCCTCTGCACTGCTTTGACTCCCTCCTCCCAAACCCCCCAGCAGTGGTCTTTTGATATTTCCCCCTATTTACCCCTCAACTACCAGTAGTGCCACTTGAGGCCTCAAGCAGGGGTGAAGGCCACACCATGCAGTTCCTTGCTCCTGGAACAGTTGGATCAGCTCCATGAGCTAGGGCCCCTATAACCTAGGATGTTGTGACAAATCAAGTGGTGGGCTGGAGTCTGGGTGTGGGAGGCCTTACAAGTTGTGATCCTGCAACAAAACCATGACCTGCTTCTGTGCACCACCTTGCTCCCTCCTCACTAGCAGGGTGGACTGGGCCCTTTGCTATGGCTCAATGCTTGGGATCAAGCCATCCTGGCTTTACTCTGCCTTGGGCACTACTGGGAGAGAGTGGTGCAGTTTGGGCTCCTGGGTGGGGCCTGCACAGGGAAAAAGCCTGGTAGAGAAAACACTATTCCCAGGGCACCAGCTCCTCAGTAGTGTCCCTCCCCCACAGTGACAGCTCCTCCTTGCCCCATGGCACCCTCCCCAGATGCAGCACCTGTCCTCTCCACCCACAGCCAGCACCCCCTCCTCCATTGCCCCCCCCCCCCCCGAGGCAGCTACCCAGCACATCCATGGGCGGCAGGTGAGCTGCTGGCTCAGGGAGGCTAGCCCTGGTCCAGCCCTGCCCCTCCTTCCCCTCCCAGAGTCCAGAGCCACACACAGCCCTAGGGCTGTCAGCCCTGGCCCTCCTTCCCCCCCCCCCCCAAGCATAGGGTGGGCAGCCTCAGCACTGGCAGCCCCCCCAAGGGGCTGGGCGTGGCCCCTGCCACCCTAGTCCCAGCCCCATCACGCTTCCATGAAGACAAGCAACCAGCCTGCCTGGGCTGGGGCCAAGGGGGAAGGGCGGCTTCCGGGCAGAGCATGGGCAGGGTCACACTGGGCTGTTTGGGAAGGCACAGCCTCTTCCAGCCTACGATACATGCCGCCCATGGGCACCTCCTGCCCTAACAAGCAGCATGTGGGCAGCCCCACCCCTGCCAGCCAGCAGCTGCCCAAGCTCCTCTGTCATGTGCTATGGGGTCTAGGAGGAGCCCCACCAGCTAGGCGCCGTACAGCCTCTGAGGTGGCAGCAGCACGAGCAGCTGGGGGATCAACTTTTACTGAGTGAGTTGGGGGAGGGGGCACCACTCTCCAGCTGTGTGTGACACCTGCCAACTACCCCACGCACCACCTCTTCCCCCACCCTGCTCTGCTCTCCCCACCCCCACCCCGAGCCACCATCCTGCCCCTGTGCCACCCAACCCTCATGTGTACCTTCCTCCTTCCATGGGGCCTGCTCCGCTCCCCTAGGGTTGGGAACATCAGGCACATCCCCCCACCCCACCCCCAAACTTGACATGGCCAATGTCCTTCCCCTGCTTGTTCTTCAGGACACCACCCAGGAGGGCCAATGGCCCACCTTCCCAAACTACGATACCATCTCCCCTATAACAAGATGGCGCTAGACACCCTGCTACCTAGATGCAGGCATCCCAGTGGTAGGCCAGCTTGCTACACATGCATGTTGAGGCTCCCACCCAGGGGGCCTGCTGCTGGGGTGTGAGATTTCCACAGGCCCAGCTTGAGCTGGAAGGATGGTGCCAGGCTTCCTCTGGCAGAAGGAACAATAGTGGCCTTGCCTCCTAGGGGCGCCATGGGGCGGGGGAAGGCAGTGCTGGCTCAGTTGAAGGGTGCCATGGGGGGAGAGGGGGGGCAGGGCGTGCTCTGCTGGCTCAGGGTTGTGGGGGGGGCTGTGCAGGAAAGAAGGCCTGGCAGTGGCAACACTGCCCAGGCACCACCATCCCCTATGGTACCCTTCTCCAGAGCCAGCACCTCCCCACCCCGCTCAGTGGCACCCTCTGATGGCACTGGGAGGGATGTTGAGAGGGAGGTACTCGGGGGGGGGGGGGGCATTGGCTCTGAGTGTGGGCAGTGCCATGGAGGCAGGAGGTGCTGGCTTTGAGTGGGGGGGGGGTGTGCCATGGGGCAGGGAGGTGCTGGGTGGGCAGTGCCATGGGTGAGGGGGGAAATGCCAAGGAGCTGGCTCTGAGGGTGCCGGTTCGGGGATGGTGGTGCCCACAGTGTTGCCACTGCCAGGCCTATTTTCCTGCACAGGTCCCCAAGCCAGCAGCCCCCTGAATGTCAAAGATGGACATGGGTGAAACACTGGTCACAGTCAGAAGCCCTTGCTGCACCACCGCCACTTCCCTGAAGCCCCCCCCCCCCCATCACTCACTCTCCCCCACCCTGACTCAAGACTGGAGTAGGGGGTTGGGATGCGAGGGGGTGGGGTGAGGGCTCCAGCTGGGAAGATTTGTGTGAAGAGGCTCCACAAGTGCAGGAGGAGTAGAGGTGGGGCTGCTGGGGGCACACATGGGTTATTTGAGAGTGTGGGCGGGGTGTGGTGTGGTGGTTAGAACTGGTGCAGTCATGAGGAGACAAGTTGATGGGCTGAAGACTGGGGCACATGTAAGGGCTTGGACACCATTGATGAGGGGCACAGATTTACATGGGGCTTTGTAATTAATTGCTAGGCACGGAAATGGGCAGATGCAGTGGCAGTGGGGGAGGAGGGCCATGGCCTTCATGGGAATTTTGGGGACACCATCTACAAATTTGTGTCATTTGACCTCAGCTGGGTCTTCCCATAAGACAGGGGTAGGCAAACCTTTTGGCCCAAGGGCCACATCTGGATATGCAAATTGTATGGTTGGCCATGAATGCTCATGAAATTGGGGGTTGAGGGGGTGAGGGCTCCAGCTAGGGTTGTGGGCTCTGGGGTAGGGCCAGGAATGAATTCAGGGTGCAGGAGGAGGATCAGGGCTGGGGCAAGAGGTTGGGGGGACAAAGGCTCCAGCAGGGGTGTGGGCTCTGGGGTTAAGAAGGGTGGGAGGGGGATCAGGGCTGGGGCAAGGAGTTGGGGCACAGGAGGGGGTCAGAGAGTGCAGGCTTCGGGTGGCACTTACCTCAAGCATCTCCGGGAAGTAGCAGCATGTCCCC